ATTCAAAACATGCTATGGAAAATTCGTCACTAATAAAATTAGATTTTTAATATCGTGAATGTTGCTTTCATTCAGTCAAAACAGAAACAAGCCACAAAACTTCAGTTCTAGAATTCAACCATACTGCAGTAAAAAAACATCAAAATTAACAAGCAAATGTCAAATCCGTTAACAAACGTGACGTTCAGCAAGGCATTTTCACATTCTGTCTTCTCTCTTCCTCGGAGCACATGTAATAATTTCATCAACTCTAAGAATCATCTCAGCTGCCTCAGTTGCGGAGAGCAATACAGCTTGCTTGACTTTGAAGGATTCAGAGATTCCTAGCTCAGCCATATCTCCTACCTGTTATAGAGTTGAAACGTATCACCCACCACAGCAAGGAAGGAAAGTTAAAAGCTTTGTTGTTTACCATATAGGCCATATAGCATGTCAATATTTGAATCTATGACATAAGGATGAATAATCTTGCTAAGGCATTCATACATCTGTAACTATGTTAAGCAGCCATGTGAATCTTAGCTAGTGTACTTAACCTAATAATGATATCCTTTAAAATGGAACATGAAATCACCCACTAGACATTATGTAGACATGGCCAATGAAACAAATCTGCAGCTACTATTATAATAATAAATAAATAAAAACCCTACAAAAGATATATTTGATCCTACTTTAATTTTTTTAAATAATTCGATTTCAGCACTTACAGATCCAGAGATAACATCAATCCCTGCATTACATCCCTCCTTGTGGTGTGCTGCACGAAGCTGAGTTACCAAGTCTGCACTGTCCAGACCAGCGTTGTCAGCAATAATCGTTGGTATGGCCACAAGCGCACGCGAGAAAGCTTCAATAGCATGAGATTTCTTCCCAGGTGTCTTCCGTGCCAATTCATCAACTTCCTTTGCCATTACCATCTCAGGCCATCCACCTCCAAGCAATACCCTAGTGTCATTCACTGTCTGAGACAGCACACACAAAGCATCATGAAGAGACCTTTCAGCTTCATCCAGCACATGATGGCTGTCATAAACAGAGGCACATTATGGAGAATGCAAACATATCAAAAGAGAACTAGAATGAGATGCTGCAATACTATACCTTGACCCTCTCAACACAATAGTACAAGCCTGACCCATTTCAACACCAGAAAAGTGGATCAACTTATCCTCACCAATCATAATTTCTTCAATAAGCTTGCAATGTCCAAGCTTAACAGACTCTGGGTTGTCAAAGGTTGAAGCGATTTCACCACCTGTTACCAAAGCCAAACGCTCTATACCATCAAAATCAGCATGCTCAATAGCAAGTATACCTGCATCCGCAAAGAGTTCTTCAGGGAAATTATAAATTAACTGCCTGTTAACAAAGCAGTTAATCCCATGTGCTATGATCTTTTGCACTTTCTCTCTCATCTTTTCCTTTTCAGCCCCTTCAATTTCAGCAACCTTAGACATTGAATCAACACGAACACGTGCACCATATATCTTCACTTTATCTGTATCCATTGCAGTATTTGCCACCAAAATCTTTGCATTCTCTATTCGTTTTGGTTGTCCAAGGCCTATTTTCTTGTCAAGAATGAATCTGAAAGCATAAGCATCATGTTTAAATCAACAGAATAAAGAGTCCTAAGTGATGCCTTAAACCATTAAACAACAAGTGTCTGTAGTCACAATATATTTTTATCAATGAAAAGTGCAATAAAATGGGAGCAAAACTTTTGCAGAATACAGAGAACAAAGGGAAAGGTTAGTGTACTAGAGAACCAGCTGATTCCACCAAGAAACTATTATAATAATTATTGAATGGGATAAGAGGTTCATAAGAACTCACCCTTCATCTAAGAAAGAATCCCTCAAAGATCCTCCAGGCTTCTTGATAATTTGGATGGCCTCCAAATTTGTGCTCCCCTGGAGTAATAAATAAAATGCCATAAAAACACAATAAATAAAAATGGAAGAAGAAATTCAATTGAATTCATAAAACAAATTACAGAGAATTCCTTGCACATTCCTGCATCAAACAGCATTGGAACACCAATTGCAAAATGTTAGCTGCAGAATGATTATCACCTTTAACCTCATAACAGCATCGACAGCTAGTTGTGCAAAATGCACCTTATCCTGAGAGAGAATTTTGGAACTCAGAGTGGTCATTGCAATTTTCATCAAATCTGACATGAATTTCTCTGCAATATTCAGAAAATTCACATGCATGATTAAAAACGCATTCCAATATCAAGAACAACTCCATTGCAAATTTCATCAAGTCGGACATCAAAGAATCACATTCAATAAGGAAGAAGACCTAGGGCATAATGCAAAAAATAGTGGTCTCACACAATAAACAAATAAAATGAATGATCTTGTATCCAACAATCTTAACCTGCATTCTCTTTGTTATCCACAACCCTCTGCAACAAAGCATTACGAGCACATTCAGCTGCCATTCGATAACCTACAAAACCAACATAAACTGTTATAAACTATGAAACAGGAACTTATTTGGTTATTGGCACACCAAAAAAGTAAAAGAGAATAAAACCAAACAGTCTATATGCAAATGCAGCTACACTACTATTAAATTCAGGGAGAAGATTTATACAAATAATATAGGAAGTGTGATGAGGAAAGGTTGACTACCAAGATAGAAGCAAGTAAAAAAATATTAAACAAAAGAACCCATGGTAACATCCCTGGCTCCTTTCTTAACGCTATAGATATATGGAAACTAGATAACAAGTTCAGATTTCCAGCCATTTCATAGATTTGAAAAAACACAGCCAAGAGGCAGCATAAAAGAAGAATAATAGGAAGCAATGTACTACATGAGCACAAAAGAACCTGATATTATTGTCATAGGGTGAATCTTGGTTGCCACTAGCTTCTCTGCCTCCCTTAAAAGCTCTCCAGCCAAAACCACAACAGAGGTTGTCCCATCTCCAACTTCATCATCTTGAACTTTCGAGATATCTGGATTTGACATCAATGGTCATTATATAGATGTATAACAGCAATCTTTTGCAACAAAAAAAGAATTCATCAAACTCATTTTTGGAAAGAGAAAAAAGTAGGCATGTTAGCCATAGAGTAGTCGAAGAAAAAAAAAACTGCAAGGATACCAATTAAGACTTTTGCTGCTGGGTTGTCAATATGCAGGGACTTCAAGATGGTAGCACCATCATTTGTAACAGTCACTCCATGTCCTCTGCCCGTTGACTGTAAAATTTTATCCTGGCAGATAATTTAACCAACAATAGATTTACAATTTAAAGTAGAGAAAAGGAAACATTAATACCATTTTAATGTGAATGGACAGAATGGAATATTTACCATTCCCTTTGGCCCAAGGGTTGTCTTAACCAAGTCAGTAATTGCAATTGCTCCAACAAATGATGCCTGGAAATAATAAAAAACAAATATACCTTAAATTATTGAAAATAATATACTAAAAATAGCACAAATTCAACAAAAGTATAATCATAGAATTCCAAACAAGTATGTATTTTCCCCTTTAAATCAGATTATCAGCATTATATATATTTATATATGTTACAATGACTTACCATTCTGGCACGTTCCCCCTTCTCTTCACTAGCATCATCTTTAAAGATTTTCTCAATCTATCACATTTACCAAGAAAAACATACGCAAGGTAGAACTTCAAATACTGAAGAAGAAAAAAACGAATGCTAAAAGTAAATCTAGCAAACTGAAAACAAGTTATATTAGGCAAGTAACGTACCGCCATGTAAAATAAATATGAACAAAGTATCTCGGAGTTTCAGTTCACGAAAAAAAGCCTGATGCAAGAAAAAAAGTATCTTTAATCAACAACAAAAATGAAATAAATCTAGAAGATCGAACCTAAGGAGCAGCATAATAAACCCTAGTTTTGTATAAGGTGAAGTAATAAAGTTTGTATTCTGCATTTTCACTTCATTTCCCTCATTTCAGTGAGAAACTAATCGAAATAACTTTTGAAAGAAAAATCGTAAGATAACTGCACATTTTGAAAGTGAAAAGGAAACGAAGTCGTATGATTCAGAAACCCTAGAAACCGCTGAACTGGCTAGGCTTTTACCTGATCTTAAGCTCGATGTTCGAGAGAAATGGAAATACGGATCCCGCCGAGAACAGAGAATAGAGAACAGAAGTAGGGTTTGGGTTTTGGCAGTGTGACTTCGCTTTTTTGTTCTACGCTATAAACTCGCTAGGGTTTCTTTTATAGAGGTTATATTCTATCCTTAATCCTTGTATTATACAGATGTTGTGATTTAGTCCTGATACTCTTAATTGACTAACTTCTATTATTATACTTTCCTGATTTTAAAAATCCATTCTTGTCACATATAATGTATTAATAATCTGATATAACTATAAAGATTTAAGGAATCAAACCAGATAATAAAAATCAATAAATAAATATACAAAATTATACAAAACATAATGACTAATAGTGAATTTTGATTTAACAAATATTTTTTCAATCTGATTTAAAATATTAAAAATAAAAACAAAAATAACCAAATTAAAAGACATGATTTATTAATGTTTTTAATGTGAGAATGAGAAGATTTACAAGGATCAAATCATCAAAAGTAAAATTAAGTTTAAATTCATCAATTTTTTCTCTTTACTAATGAATTTTCCACTTGTTGCGTCTTCATTATCTTTAGGGTCGTTTGCATGTGTTGTACGTGCTCATGAGTGTAACAATGCTAGTATGGTTTTGGTTGTAATGAGTAAGCTTATTAAAAAATTTCCTCTGATCGACGTACCCTGCTTATCTCCATTGCCTCGGGCGTCTAGAGTGGAACAGATGCTGAAGAAAACAAAGCTAGCTGTAATAGCGTGCGATTGTAGACATTACACCATCTTATATGTAATAATTGATCCACACAAATAACAATGATATATATATATATATGATGGGAATAATTAATGGATGAAGACTTGGAACAATAATACAATGGGAATGAATGCAAATCTGTAGTAAGAAAGAATGAGACCTCGAGTTGAGGTCTATTAAATTTTAAACTCGTAACCAATCCATCATGTTCTTTACGCTCAAATGTTCTTATTCGCAGTAATAAACAAGTTCATAAGCCAAAACTCTGCCGCTCAAATGTTGTATCCTTTATTCTACGGGTGGCTTAAACAGGTCGGGTTCTCCTGCCACTTGCCCTGCCGCAGAGTAGTGCGTTCTTCGGGATCGGGTACTCATCCCTCAATGAAGTTGAGGTTGTGAACACGCGCAAATAAAACTGTTGCCCCAGGTACTGTCTTGCCCAGTTCTCGGACCTTAAGTTCCACATTCCCACATTGTCGAGTGCCACATAAATGGCCGTCCATGACTTGGGGTACACCTGCATTCACGTTAGTAGCCAATGTCTTCAAACCTTGTTCTTCAGATGAACAAAGAAAGACCAAAGATGTTGAGTTTTTACCTGAGTGGTACAACGAGAAACAGCATCGCGAAGGTTGTATCCGTTCCTACTAGCAGGTGTCCATTGCCCTCCGTCCATACTGCATTTCACAAGAGTTTATAAATAAATAATTTCACCACAAACTCGAAGCACACGTTTTAAAAATGACGTGTTTAACTTACCCAACAAGGAAGAAATTGTATCCGTTAAGATGCCAGCTCTGTATAATATCCTCATCGTTCTGAAATACAATCTCAATGAAAGCTCTATAGTCTGTGTTCATAACCGAAGTGTCAAGGTATATCCCTCCGCCGGTAGGTCTATCGGATATGCTTCCGATACGATAAACTCCATCGATTTTGAAATAGTCTGCAAGTTTCAAAGGAGTGTCTGCTGGAACAAAGGAAACACTGTTAACCGCATATCTTTGCTTGCCATTGACTTGGCCGGCAGAATTTGAAAGAATGATGGTTCTGGTCGTGTTGATGAGACCATAGTGATACGACCCTTGTGGGTTAGGCCTTGGTCCGCTTGCTGTAAGGTTCTTTCTGAAACAAAAACATGTCAATAATGAGATTACAATTTACAACACATGGGCCATTGCATCTTATTATGTATTGGTTTGTGAGATTAAAAAACATACCTAATAGACCGGGCTTGGTTCAAAGACCAATCGATTTGGATGGTGGGCCCACCAGGAATGGGACCAGAGACCGGGCCGGCAGAATTGCTATAGCGTAGAGTTGTTGTAGTGGTGAGGACCGGGGTGGTAAAGCGAGAAGAGACCACAATGTAATAGTCTTTGGCAGGCTGATCAGCTGTGAATAGAACAGACATCGATTGGCCAACGTGAAGGTCTATTGAGGAGTAGGTAGTTTGCAGAGTGTGGGTTCCCTCGACTTCTACCAACTTCAACTTGTGGTTTTGGATGCGGAAATTGAGAGAATTTTGCAATCCAACATTTGATATCCTAAGCCTGTATGTTTTCCCTGCAACAAGATGATGCACAATATTGTTGATGACGGACATTCTTGAACGATAACTGGAAAAAGATGGAAATTTGGACCTACAAAAATACCTTGTTCGACATTGAAGGAAGCACCGCCAGGTCCACGACCGTTGATAAGAATTCCATCAGGGAAAGGTAGCTTATTACCACCATCTAGGTGAGCTTTCAAGTCCTGCACCAGCACATTCTAAGCTAAAGGCAAGTAAATTTAAACACACCAAGGCTTTAATGTAGGATCACTACCGTGTGATTGGACGTGTACCAATCTCCAATAAGAACAGTGTAATCCCCAGCAGGATCTGGGAAGGGAACCGGAATCCGTGGGCGGCTAAGGATTCTAATCCCTCCAAAACCACCAGCAGCCTTGTGGAAATCGAGAGAGGGGAAGTAATAAAAGCTGCCTATTTGATCCTTCACTTGAAGAATGTATGTAAAATTCTTCCCCGGAGGAATGGGGCAAGTTGTTCCGTAGACACCATCTTCATAAGAATTCCTCCTATTTTGGACTCCATTCCTACATTTTTCATTTCGATATAAGTTACAACTTTACTTACACTACAATATATAATCTCAATGTCACTTAAAAACATGATACAAAATAGTCCAATGACACTTGGTTGACATTTAAGATGCTAAGTTCATAAGTGAATCATTCATGCTAAAAACTAACATTTTCCTGGTCTGGTACATATCTCTATAAAAAAAATTCTAACCCACCCGAAAATCTAGCTATATCTGTTATGGGGTGGGAGCAGCTAATGAAAAAGTGGACCACTTGGATGATTAGTGCGTATTGAATTAGGGTAACCGTTGCCTCTCCAAATCAAGGGATATGTCGCTTTCTAATTACACCAAAGGAAAGAACCTGCTTAATTGTATACTGATTCTAAACAATGAAATTATGACAAAAGATAGTTATGTAGGCTCCACTAATAACCACGATAAACAGTGGAAATCAAAGGTGCCCAAACAGTAAAGAAATGCAATGAATCTGGTGACAAGCCATGCCACCAAGCACATATAGATGTTTCCTCTAGCGTTACGTTTAGGAAAGCAGAAAAGAAGGCAATAATGGCCGGCCGAGCAGACATTCCGTAAGCGTCTGACAGACCGATTAAGACGGATGGTTGCGGGAAGAAATGTAATAGATCATGGTGGCAAACATATTTATTCCTTATATATCAGTGGGATAAATCGATAATGGTGGGTTAGATTCGTCTTCTAAAAAGAAAGGGCGCGTAAAAAAGTTGGTGGCAAAATCTTACCAGGAAAGGAGGAAAGGAACGTCTAAGTTGTTAAACACGTTGATAATGAGATTGTCATTGGTAACAGAGTGGATATCAGGGCCTGGGAATTGTCCATTGATGAGAATACCCTGGAAAAACGAAACCAAACAATTCGTGAGCATCATTTTCTTGTGTATAGATCCCACAAACATTATCATTTATCAATCAAAACGAAGCACGTTTCATATGGAAGAGCAGGCTCACCGTTTGACGAACGCCGAGAGGAAAAATATCACCGTAGGTGACATTCCAGTTGAAGAATCTGTAGGGATCTTCAGCCCCGGCAATGGAGAAAAGAGTGGCACAAATCAGTGCCACAGACAAATGAAGGCGCATTTTGGAAGTGAAGGAAACGAGAGATTCCCTTTTCCTTTACTCGATTACTGAATAGTGAAAGTGAAAGGAAGAAAAGGGGAGGAATTTAAAAGGAAAGTGGGGGTTGGGAAGAGGGAGCAATGAATGAGGAATGACGAGGGGAGGGGAGGGATGGGACTATGTTTTAAGTGTGGTACAGAGGAGGAAGGGCTGTGTTCAAATTTTAAAAAATAAAGGAAACAAAGAGTAAAATGCTATGTCGGTGATGGCGACTTATGCCATTTAGCTGACTATTTTGAACTGTGATTGTCTGCCACATGGGAAGGTGGAAGAATATTTTTTTCCCATTACTACTGATGGCCTAGCCCTAGAGGGTGCTTTTTTTTTGTTTGTTTTGAAATAGAGATGGCCCTCCCTTTGAGATGTCACATTACTTACTTTTCCACCTTCATTTGCTGCTGTTTTTGTTCCAATAATCCAATCCAAGTTTGTTGGTTTATTCTGATTAAGCAGTGATTAACTCACAAAGGTCAAACCAAAGTATCAAATTAAGCAAACTTTAAATCTCACTCCCTGTGCTGGTTATAATTACATGAATACAAAATTTAATTTGGGACAGCTGGTTATTACAGAATCTAGTATTTATACAGAGAGTTGTAGCATCGAACTTTGGTGCTTCAACTCTTGGATATATTCCACAACGAGCATGTGCTGATGCAGATCAGTGTCCACTGCCCTCGGATCATTTTCCAAGGGGGGAAAATGTGAGGTAATTTATTTATAACAAGTTAATTTTGCAATCTCGACACGACAAATGATTGAGTTGCGTAACTGAGGAATCATGGTTTGCATTTTGATTAATATGAACTCAATGACCAGCAGAAGCCTTTCAAACAAAAAAGACCTTTTAAAGGATTGCTTAGTGGAAAACGATCCCGACATAACTTTTCAGTTTTTCCCCTCAAGCAATTTTGGAGAATTTGCAAAAGTAGCGGCTTGCTTTAGTGAACTGGAGGTAACATTGCCAAATGCCAAGCTTTGATTTCAAAGAGTAATCTAGAGTTTGATTCTTCCCTTGGTTAAGATACAATGTGTACAAGAACAATGGATTTCGGTGGGTAGGGTCCGTAGGGACTTAGAGAATACTAATAATAACAAGTACCAATCGCATGGGGGAATCGTGCCAAAATTAATAGTGGCGAGTTTCCAAGGAAAATGTTCCATGTCTACGTCGTAAATGTGGATCTCAGTAGCCATGTGCCATGTGCTCATTGCAATTTGCATGATTCCCTTAAGTCGCAAGGCCTTGGTTTGATGACCATTGAATAATAACACCACCTAAAACACGGCAACTAATTACGCGCTTTAAAAGCATAATAGATTTAATTATAGATTTTCAAAGACTTGATTAGGACCAATCAACCCGGCATTAGTGGACATGCTATCACCTCCTAAATCAAACAAATTAATGTTTCCAAAAGCCGATTCTCTTTCACTTGAGATTTTCCCTGAATTAACTTTGGTGTCTTAAACGTAATCAAGCAGCGGAAAGACAATGAAAATGTCTAATTGACTGTTACTTTAAAAAATAATATATTACGGCTCTTCCATAAATATGAAACCAACATCAATTAATACAGGAAACGTATAACATCCGATTCCAAATAAAATTGAGAGCAGGTCTTGCCGGCCAACTAGAGATGCTTTCCCCTATTATGATAATAATTATTATTCCCATGATTCATGAGCTCCAAATGCGTAAGGACTAATATCATTTGTTCTTCATCCAAACAAGATTCGACACAACCATGATTTCCTTCTAGCACTTGATAGAGTGCAATGAACTGCTTTGTTTGCCTAACCATTTACTTGAAAAAAAAAGTGAAGATATGAGAACTTGAGAGGCCAATCTGACATCAGTTTTGCTAATTCCATTAAAAAAAAAACTAGAGCGATGGCTACATACTGCATCAGAATTCCAAACATCCACATTGCTTGCCCTCAATACTTTTTGTTCTGCCATCATTTTTAACATCTTTCTTGACATCCCTGTTTAGGCCTTGAATACGACCAATGCCGAGCTTTGGTAAACCTCGATTCAGCCCCTCCAGCAACACACGAGCTTTACACCATTTGTGTACCCCATGTATAAAGGTTAAATCAGTTTCAGCCACATTGTAGATGGCTATTAATGCTAAAAGCACTCCAGTGGAAGGCACAACTTTATCATAAATAACGCATACCAAATGCATGCCACTTTTTAAACAATCCTAAGGCATCAGGCAAGGTAAAAGCAATTCTCTCCTGGCTGGAAATATAACCACATCGTTCACAGGTTCCCCGCTCAGGCATTTTGGTGGAAGTGGCAATTCGAAAATCCTCCCCTGATTTAATGATGTCAAGTATAGCTCTGGGCCTGAAATAGTAAGCCATAAAAGCATTCAACAACAAAGTTTTCAAACTTTGCAGATGTGAGACTGAGAGGAAACACAAAGGTATTAAACTGATTCTCTCCAAATCTTTTATGAATTCACGAGAAAAACCACGATACGCGTTTGGAGAATAAATGCCTGAAATTTAAACACCTCCACCAGTTTACTTGGGTGACATTATGGGACGTGCTGCAATACCCTCTAAACATAAACCTTAACAACTCAACAATCAAATTACAAATATAACGGGAAAAGGAACAATTACATTCAGTCGAGAAGTAGTCCAGCTTCTTGAAATAAGCATACGTGTAGAAATTGTTAAGGTTTTCACAACAAAGTGCAGTGATAGACTACTATAAATAAATTCACAATTAAAACTTTCAGAACGGTAAGCATTTCAAGGATATATCACAATCTCCTTCTCATAGGTATATTTAAAAGGTTTGCATCTTGGAATAGGTCCATCTTCACCAGTAATAATTGAAGTGCATCTACTAAGCCTACAGAAGAAAGAGCCATTATCTCAGCATAAAAATCATTTTTTTTTAAAAAGAAGCATAACAATCAATTGAGCCAAAAAGAAACAAAAAGTACAGTAAATACATTACCTAACAATATCATCTGCATTATGTCCAGTAGAAACCTTGTCGACTTTCGGCAATGCCGCACCTCGATCAAGGGCCTTCAACAAAAAGAAAGTCAAACAAGTCATTATATCCTCAATCACAGAAACAATGCAAAGTGCCGAAACTACAGAAGCTATATTGACAGTTCTACAACATATAAAACGTCTATAAACTCCCCTAATTGGAGTTGATGAATTTAGTTGTTTTTAAATTTATTAATAGGACAAAGTTCATGAGCCATTTCTGAGGAAAACCCCTTCTTAAAATTCAGATATGATGATCTGATTATGTAGTCTCATTGTACCCATGTACAGCCTAACAGAAATAGCAGAATCAAATAAACTAGCAACTCATATACCTGGCAGCGGAAAACACCACAAAATGTACAGTTATTTTTTAAGCCAATCATCTTTACTATTTCATCCATAGTCCATCCATACAAATCCTTAGGAAACAATTTTTAGTGGCAGCCCATACTGCATAAAAAAAAGAAGAAGAAGAACCATACATCACAAAAAATGAAGAAGTTCCTAAACAATCAAAGCAAACAGTTTGAAACAGTTCATTTCTTTTGGACAAAAATAACAGGTTTTTGGAAGAAATTTAACAAGATAAAAAGAAAGAACTGACCTGAAGTTCATTTCTTTTGACAGTTTCAAGTGAGTCATCCCTGTACCCTGTTATACCTCGTCAATAGACAAAATAAAAAGATCAAGGCCATAGTTATGTCGTCGATTCAGTTCTGATAACACATAAGCAAGGACTGTGGAATCTGCAACAATCCCAGTTGTAGATATTGTTAGAAGGACAAGAAGAAAATTTACGAAATTGTAGCTATGAGAGTGAGTGGTGCTTAATATCAACTTGAATAAAGAGATTAACCTTTCCCTCCAGAGGCACCGATAGCAATACGCTCACCAGGCTTGAACAGCTTGTTCTCTAAAATAACCTGGTGAATCTCCTCCTCGAACACCGCGTAAAAAAACTCCCTGCATATCTTTAACCATGGCACAATTTCAGAATCCAATAAAATAGACGAATTCCCACAACTCGATGCAAGTTCGAAACTGAAGGAAGAAAAGTTTAAGAAATTACCTGCTCTAGGGTTTTGGGTCTTTTGAGGGCAGCCCTTCGCTGGTTACAAACGCAACAGAGCCGAGCTCCAGGTTTCTTTGGTTTGGTATCAGCTTCCATAAATGACAGATGTTGCGATAGAACTGCGTTTGGGTGCGTAACTCGGTTGTTTGACAACTTTCATAAGGCATAAGATTCGGGTTCAGGCAGGATTCAAGACCTTTAAGAATCCGAACCCCCAGTAGGTGAATAGGAGAAAAATCCAAAGGTTATAATCTGTTTTAACCAAAAAGGGTCGTTGATTTTAGCAATAAGACGTAGAGAGAAAGGGGAATTTATCTGAACTGAACCCATCTAATTTGCACAAGGCCTACCTCTTCCGGTTAAAGCCCAAATTCAAAAGAGGGAATGAAGTATAATTGGCGATGTTAATTATCCTCGCTGTAGCAACTCATTTAACGTGTAATAATAACACTATTCGTAATTTTATTAAAAACTGAATCGAGCTAATAAATTACTAAAATTTCAAGTTCTCAACCCCCCATGTTCCAAGTTATCTCGTGCTGGACCTCTTTAAATGTAGTGAATTAAGATAATAAGTTACAAGTTTTATTAGAATAAATTTCTCACGTTCCTTTGTTTGCAGCACAATATAGAATGAAAAAAAGGGAAAGATTACAAATTTCCCTCCCCTCGTACAAGAATCATCGAGTACGAGGAAGCATATCATCTTATAATGACAATTTTTAATTTAATATGCAATTAAACAAGACAAACATTTGAACAAACAAATCATGGAAGAGCAAAATAGCAAACAAGCCCCCCCCCCCGGGGAAAGCCAAAGCTTATACAAGAATCCTCGATGTAAAACAAAGAAAATGACCCCGCCCCCCACAGTACAGTAGGAGGTAATTAGAGGCAGACCTTCATTCAACAAATGTATTTTTTTAATAATGCAGAAATGCTAGCACTTGTCCTCATATTTATCCTGAAATCGTTGACGTATGTCCTGGTGTAGCATCTCGACGTATTCCTGGACGTGTCGGACAATATTATTGAGTTTCCATGAAATAATCACCAAGAAAAATTAGGCACACTGAAAGGACAACGTTGCTTAATCCCTCTTCCTTCTGATAATGGAAGCATTTTTTTAACCACAACTGGCTTTAACTTATAGGAAACACAATTGCACATCAAAGACAATAACAGAAAGTAACTCAGCCAGAATACTTACCTCAGCAAGATCCTCATCACCACATAACTCACTCAAAAGTTCTGTGTTCCTCCCATTGCCATATACCTGAACTGCATTTTCTGCAACGGCATGGAAGACGTCACAAGGTGAATTAAATTCCTCGATCCTCTGAGCTATTTGTCGAACATTGTCCTAGATGACACAACAGATATGACAACAGTCCCCATGTCAGCATCTCTTACTATTTAATTGACCGTTATATGATAAAAATGAAACAAAATTTAAATTAGAAAAACCTGAAAATCACTATCACAAGGGTAATTAGCTGCATTAGACTTCCTCCCATCATGATGAACCTGTGGTTTAGGTTCTACAGCATGGAATGGCAGAGGTGCAGATGCCCCTTGACTAAGTGCCCGAGAAACAATAGGCATCATTTGTTGGACCGTGCGTGACATATCAATTCCACCACCTTGTACTCCCAACCCTGAAAACATGTTTCCAATATCCTGGCTATCAACTTGCTGAGCTAGTTGATTGACAGTGTTCATGATTTGTGGACTTCGAGTGAGTTGCTGCAACATATTCCTCAATACATCTGGTGAACCAACACCAGTCTGCTCAGAAACCCCAGCCAATAATCCATTTATTACAGGGCTTTCAAGAACTTGAGAGACAGCATTAGCAACATCTAATTGATCATCAGAAGTTCGCACTCCTGATGATCTACTCTGAACACCAGGATTACTTGAGGAAGCATCATCTCCCACTCTATCCACAGAAGAGCTCGGAGATGTAAGTGACTGCAAAATCTTTTGGCAAATCATTCTAGCACTCGAGCTCTGATCATGAGACCTGATTATTCCAGTATTTCCAGTACTGAGAGATGATTTTGCCTGGTTGACCCGTCTCTGACCACAATGATACCATATTATCATTTTTTTATAGTAGTAACATAAACAATTTAGAATAAAATAAGAAATTATCATCAAACCTTGCGTTCCAACCCCCCCAAACCCAATCCAAGTGGAACAGGTTTAGCATTTTCCTCGGTGGATCTCAGAACACTTGCTGAAGAGTTTTCTGAATTTACCAAGAATTCTCCACTTGAGCTTGGAAGGCATCCAACTGTGCCAGTTGATACATCCTTTGAACTCTTGCCACTCTTGGTAGCATTGTTACTATGTTCATCATGTTGCCGTTGTGACTGATTATCAATGGTAACTTAGTACAGGTTAGAATACTAAACAGACAATTGCTAATAAATCATTTAAGTTCATTCTGAACAAAGCACACCTTCTGTTCTTCAGTTTCACGAAGGTCTGCTGGTAATGCAACACTAGAATCTCCTGCTCCACTAGCAGTCATATTATCAGGCTGTCCAGTTCCTGCATCATTACCTGCACCAGACACCGCATGAATTCCACATTAGATTTTGATTGACCTTAAATACCAGAGAAACCAAATGGACAGGTAACATTGTGGTTATTTGCATCTCAAAACCATTCATTGCCACATACCTGATGCAAAACATTTCTCCTTGTGCATGTTAATAACGTACTGTATGAACAAGTAACATTGTGGTTATTAAAATCTAAACCAATTAACAGCCAGCTACCTGATACAACCTGGTTCTGCCCCTGCACATTACTAACAAGGTCTCGAAGCCTTGAATTCACTTCCACGAGGGCAGAGGATAGAGATGAATCATTGGATGCAGATTGAGCTGCACTAGACACTACACCAGTGGAATGTGCTGGGCGACCAGCAGCAATAATGTTTTGCATGGGAAGAACCCGCATTGGACCAGAACTACCATTATTGCCAAGTTCTCCTTGCACCCCTTCATTACTTGTTCTGTTACCAACTGCTGAAACCACAGGTGCCAGTGCGGTGCCTGATAAGTGATAATGATGGTAATTCTTAGACAAAATAAGTCACATTGCTTAGTTTAAAGAAAAATGCCATTATGGTCTCAGTTGAAGCAGATTACACCAACCAGCATGTATATGGATATTTATGTGCCTTTGAGCATTTCCAATACCAATAGGGCCTATATTAAGAGCATTTGATGGAGAACTGGAACTACTAAAGAGGGAGTTGGTTTGAAGGGGAAAAGGCTGTGCAAATCAACAAACCATGATTAACAGAACACCAAAGAGACTTCAAACACTTGAATTAACAAGATTAAGTAGCATGAAAATATCTTCAACCTTTGACTACATTGCTCAAAATTGCTCTGATAATCAATACTGGATATCTCAATATCAATATGTGAAAAGGATATATTAGCAGGTATTGCAGTTATTTGACCAGTTTGATACAATGCCAATAAATATTTAGCAAACCTGAACCATAATAGGATTTGGCCTCGAAGGAGATATATAAACTGCAGGCCCAGCATTGACTGAAGATTCATCCTATAAATTGCATGAAACATTGAAATGTTACTACTTTAATGACAATGGAGATAAATACAAGTAATTTTTTGATAGAAATAAATACAAGTAATTATAGGTACATACAGGAGAATTCCCCATACGCAACGTCAATATGGTTCGACCAAGCTCTAAGAGAAGGGCACCTAAATGTTGCATTGTAAGACCTACTTGTGTCGACTCTGATTGAATTTGCCCCCTCGGTGCAGGATCAGTAGAATCCCTCTCTTGCTCCAAACATCCTGCAATATGCTACAAAAGTCGTAGAAAATTAAAGATACATATTATCAGATGATACAAATTTCAAACTTGACAAGGAAAAAGAAAAGGATTGCGAAAGATTCTGTGTAAAGAATCTTCAATTATACATATTACAACTTCAAAACTCACCTGCATCAAAGCCAAAAATACCTACATTGTGAACTTAGTTTCAACAATCTTACATATAATTATGAATTCCATAACATACAAAAGTTTCACTAAGAGAAATCTTGTAATTTACATATCATAAATCAAGAATATTGCTCCAGAAGTAGGGATGGCAAACGGGCGGATCGGGTGCGGATACCCCCTCCCCTATCCCCATACCCACCTAATATTTTCAAATCCACCACCCGCCCACCATCTATGATGGGTAAAAATTTTCAAATCCACACCCACCCACGCGGGTACATTCTCAAATCCATCCCCACACCGACTACCCAATTTGAGACATACCTAGCTAGACCCGCCTGACAACAACCTTAAGTTATACTTAAGTAACAAACATAAAACAAACATGTCCATTAAGAAGCATAATAAAATAAACCAAGGATTATCTGAGTTAAGTGTTGACATAGATCTTAAAGTACATAAAACACCATAATATATCTTATACAATATTAAGATTTATAAATTAGTCTCTTAAATTATACCTAAATTCATAATGGTTCAAAATTTAATGGGTATTTAGTGGGTGGGCGGATGTGGAAAGGGCGAATGCGGGGCGGGTAAGGTCTCAAACCCATCACCCGCCCACTACCCGCGATGGGTACCACTTTTTAAATCCACACCCGCCCACTACCCACTAAAGTTATACCCATCCCCGCCCCAATTGGAACGGGTACGGTACGGAATCCACGAAATTGTTTCCGTTAACCATCCCTATACAGAAGAGAGCATGAAAATGGAAATTCCAATTACCTCGTTCTCCTTGATACTTGAACCAAATGAGACAGATTGGGAAATCAAATAACAACACGCATTAGAAAGAGAATTCACATAGATTTAAACAGAAAAATGGATAAAAGGACAAAAATATATAGAGAGAAACCAGTATACAAGATAACATAAAAAGCCTCAAATATTCCAAACAATAAACATAGAACCATAAGGCATAATACTTACAGACAATGCAACAATAGCATGACTGCTAAGAAGTCGTTCTGCATGTCTCATTACAATGCTCAATGCTTCAGGTGTCGGCAAACCCCGTGCATCGGTCGGTAACACTACCCTCGGTTGCTCTCTTCGGTTAGTCGTAGACATGTGTGGTTGATAACCTACATAATATAATGCAGCAACAGTCAGTTACTACTACTGTTTTCAATCAAATCTGCGAGTTAATGCCTTTTCGGATATCACCATTTGGAGAGTGTGCCTCCATGTGGTCCATAAAGTCTGACAGAGTATTTAAAGAATCTGGAATTGGCTGGAGAAAATAAAACAATGGAATCAGAAAACAACCAAAGTATAATCTGCCAAAAGAGAATAGTTCATTTGTACAACCGTATTAAGTGAAGGGACAGGTATTGGTGCAGCATTAAGAGGAATCGGAATGAATTGAGGATCAACTTGAAAGGATTGACCAGGAAATGATTGTGCAGACGGAATCTGAATTCCTGCCTGGTTCTCACCACCAGGCCTGCCACCACGCACTCCATCAGTTGAGTTTCCTTGAGGAGCCTGAAAGAGAGCTTTTATTTAAACAGTATACATAATCATTTAATTACTCTAAGCATTCTACATAGTTATCCCCTTGAGAAACCGAAAGCAATATCAATAATTGCATAAGCACCATAACAGTGTTACATTCTTTTCTAGTTTTCCTTATGCAACATTTGAATCATTGACATGCTCGTTAGAGTTAACAGTATTAAAATAAATCTTTTATAAAAAAATTGATATTATCCAAGTTAAAGACAATTAATCATCTCTTTCCTAAGAGAACCCAAGTCAAAAGCAAGAGAACAAAAGTTGAAATCGAGCTTTACTCACGAAGGTTGAAAACTGACTAGTGGTACTAGTTGCAGTAGGCTGGCTTCCAACTCCAAAAGAGTTTAAAACTGCCCCAAGAACCTATATATCAAGAAACAAAGAATGAAATAAGATTCATTGATTTCACATATCAATTCAATAACTCATTTTATCAAACAGAGTTGAACCTGAACTATGCATAACAAATAAAAAGAGAAGTACTCACCCTAGTAAGTTCTGGAACAATGCCTTCACCTTGATCTCCAACATTGAGTGTCCCAAGAACCACACTGTGCAAGATCTGCCCAAAGTGATTAGGAGGAATGCCTGCACTAGCATCACTTCCTGCCAATTCTTTTTCAATTAGCTCTAGGTAGCTGCAGCTTTTAGTAAAATGCTCTCAACTTCACAGGCCAGGCAAGCACCAATGTACATATCATACCTCTATTACTGTTATTTCCATTTGTCTCTCCTGAACTTGTTTCAGATGAAGGCTGTGATTGGGCTGGCTGCCTTTCAACTAAGTGCAGTGTATCTCCATCCTCAACATCTAAACTCGGTAAAGGATTCAAACCATAAAGTGAACCACAAAATAGGACATTCACAAACTTGAACTTAATGTGATAATCATATCTTCGGGAGATAAAGACGAGAGCATCCCAATAATGCTCTCAACTTCACAGGCCAGGCAAGCACCAATGTACATATCATACCTCTATTACTGTTATTTCCATTTGTCTCTCCTGAACTTGTTTCAGATGAAGGCTGTGATTGGGCTGGCTGCCTTTCAACTAAGTGCAGTGTATCTCCATCCTCAACATCTAAACTCGGTAAAGGATTCAAACCATAAAGTGAACCACAAAATAGGACATTCACAAACTTGAACTTAATGTGATAATCATATCTTCGGGAGATAAAGACGAGAGCATCCCAATTTCCCCTTTTAATATCTAGAATTATGGACCAGCTACCAAATCTCACTTTAAATATGCATTGCCTTACCACCAAGGTCATATCCAGTATTTGAGTGAGTGAACATTTTCAATGTTTGTGTCAATAAACATGAAGTGAATAGGAAGTAATATATTTGATACTTTGATGCTATTTAGTTTGTGATCATTTTGGAAATATGGTATGATTTTGGGTTGTCCAAGTTTGCATATGCGATGGGATAAGAATATATCATATCACTACTAACCATAAATATTAAATGGATCACAAGAGAACACAATGGAAAAAGAAGTTACTGTTTGTATAAGCAATGGATCAATTTGAGGAAGCAGCTACCACCACTAGCAGTCTACAAATTTTGACAGGAATAAAACCAATCTACATATATAACTCTTCAGCATTCTTAGTAATGCTATAAATACATGCAAAGATCGTGCTTAAAATGAAAAGGTTTGGATAATACTGTTCGTTAACATGGCATCTAAAAGGGTAATGGTTTCACAGGCAGTGAGCTGCAGTATTGAAAAATTTTAATCAAGAATTAACTTACAACAATCAATTTCCCTAACCACAGGATACGATATTCAGAAAGAAGATGATCATCCTTTAAGACCTTTCCCCTGAAAATCAACCGTTGCTGACCAACTGGAAAACCAATTGCATTAGCTATTCTCTCCTTGAACAATGACACTGGTGTCTGAATCCATCCAATTAAGAAGGCATCAGCTAAAAGCTGGATGAGGTACATTTTCTTAAAAATTAAGGCCGCGCCAAATGCCAGAAAGATCTTGAGAATGTCCATGCTAGAGAAAAAAAGCACTTACATTTTTTTCAACATGAAGACTACAAATCTGTGAATCCAGAGTCTTGACCTTGAGCTCTACAATTGCATTTGAAGATTCCCCAAAAATATTGTCCAAAACTGAACCTTCATTAGAGTGCTGATCTGCCATTGCAATTTGGCAGCTACAATCGCCTAGAACAGGTAAAGAAAAGTAAAACTTCATTTCCATTGTGTTTTTTCCCTGATTCAGATCCCCTAAGTAACTATTATTAGCCAAAGTGTACAGAGCCCCAAAAGATGTCATAATCATAATAAATATTATTTGTCTAATTTATTCTCTATCATCAAATAAAAAATAATTAGTTGTCTATCATCGTAAACAATTGACAAATATGGATGGAACAAGATTAAAAATTTAAAACATCTCTTCAAAGTAAATGATCTAAGGACTGCATCCTTCTTACAGTAACAGGTTCTCGCGACTTTGGAACACCTATCAACAACCCATTTCAGGATTTGAAATATATTTTACCTCAATCAAATGCATTACAACTAACAAGCATTTTTTTTTGCAATGGTTAACAAAAGTCAAATTCCCTATGATTTTAATGTATATGTTTTTACAACAATACAGTAACCAACAGATCAGAATCGATGATAACATCAACAATGAACAATTACATTGCAATCATCGTATCGTAGAACCTTGAATAAATCAAATAAGATTAAAATAAACTAAGAGAAACAATTATCATGAAAAATGTGAAATAAGTCAAATCCCACAATCGACAGGGCTAAAAGAGCAAGTCCAAATCCAAGGATCTATAAGAAAAATAGTAGGAGAACAAAAGAACGAACCAAATTGGTGTGTAGAAGTATAAACAAGATAGTGAAAAAAATCGTACGGAACTGAGAAATTCGGTTCGATCAACCAAAAAGAAACGGCGGGTTTGGTTCGTGAAAATCGCAACGGTTGGAGCGGACGAGGTTGCTTACGACGATGCCAATTGTGTGCCTTCGTTTGTGGTTGCTAAATTTGATTCCAGAAGATCTATTCGAGACCTAGCGGCGGAGCATTTAGTGATGCGGACGGAAACGGCCAATATGGCGTCGTTTTGCTGTTGGCCGTTTCGTACATGACCTCATTGTCAACTTTTCACGTCTTCCGCCTTCCCTCTTCTTTCTTGGGCTTGAGGAATCTATCGCGCAAAAATTATTATGGCGGCACGAGTATCCTGGCAAGAATTAGAATGTCAACGCGTTTGTTTTTGTATTTCTGAATGATTTAGTATTGAATGATTTAATAAAATAATATTAAATAATTTAGTATAGAAATACATTCTGAATGATTCAGAGACATTATCAAACAGTATGTCATACTCAGAGCTAAGTCATACAGAGTCTCTAAATCATTTAACGCTTAATTATTCTGAAATAAACAAACAGTCCTTTAATCAGCCCGTATCCCCAAAACATGTTAACCCCCAGCCCATTAATCAGCCCGTGTCCCCAAAACATGTTAACCCCCAGCCCATTGAAACTATTAGGTCACTATTGGTATATAATTCTAAGGGTGAAATTTCGATCACTAGGACTCTCGGAGTTCATGATATTATTTAATAATTCAAATTTTGTATTTAAAAATTAATTTTATTCAATTTGAATATATTTATTTTAAATATTATGTAAAATTATATATTACAATATCATTATTTCCTACGCTGCATTAATATATATAGACGATGAAAAACAAAAGCCCAATACATAGAAGATTTCAAGTTGGAATTTTGAGAGGCACATTTTATTTTACTTTTTTTAAATAGAGAGGCACATATTATATATATATATATATACTAGAAAAAGTAATTAGGGATTTTATACATGACCTCTACCAATCGTTATTCTTCAAAGATCATTCATCATCACACGACCGAGACACATTGATGAGTGAATTTGTTCAATCAACACATATTGATGTCATATTGATATCGGTAACATTAAAGATATCATTAATAATATTGAAAAACAATGACAATTACGATCTTCTGGAAGAACATTTAATATGAACAAATTTCGCATGCGACAACTACTACCATATTATGAAATTCATTTACGCAGAAGTCATCGTAAATATAATTTTTTAATTTTTATGACAATATAATTGTATTATCATATTTCAATTACATCAAAAATATTATTATTTGATACATTTAAATTTCATATATATATAGTTGTTATTTTCATCGTCACTCGTAGACTGAGAGAAAAAGTATATTTCGTCTCTCATGCTTTTCCAAAATTCACGATTTTAAATTTAATTTTTTTAAAAGAACACAAATTAACTTACTTCAAGGGTTAAAGAAGTTATTGTTGTTTTTAGAAGTTATTGATTCGAGCACCAGCAACTATAAGGGTGATCAACGTTAATTATCAAGTGGTTAAAAGTATTTAGAATTTATATTACTTTGTAATTACCTTAGCTTAATAAATAAATAAAAACTTTTATTAACAAAATATGTGATTAGTATATATATATATATATTAAAAATTTAAGGACTAATTTAGAATAAATGTCATAGTCTGAGGATGAAATTGAAATATTTAAAAGTTTAAGGAACAATTTAAAATGAAAGTTATAATTTGGGGACATATGATATAATTAACTCTACTTTTAAACAACTACATCTTTTTTTTCCTCTCGGTTCTAAGAAAAAAAATTAGCTAACCCTATTCTCATATGTAATGGAGTAAAGAGGAGGTAGGGTAGTAGGTTACCCCCAACGCCAGGCTGAGAGCAGATTCCGTGGAAGACTTCCGTTATGAATTTCCCTCAGTGAGACTCGATCCCACGACCACAAGATTAAGAGCATTGAGCTCTACCAATTGTGCTAGACGGGCAATTTTCTCCCCGTTCTAAGACTTCACCTTAATTAATCTAAATCGACCCGCGTTGTACACCTGATTTTGGTGGGCGTGTCTCCCAACATAAATTTTTTACATACCAAGAATTCAATCTTAAAACATTGCTTAATCAATATCAAACTTCTTACTACTACATTGTTTACTGAATTAATTGTTACGAAGAACAAAAATACATTATATCTAACGCTTTTTTTATAGAAGCATAACCGACACGTGTAAAGAAAAATATATATCATTTTTCTAAATTTTTTTTTTGAAAGGTGATAGATTCATAAATAATCTAAAAATTGATATGAACAACAAAGCTGCCGTTAAGTTTGTCCGAAAATATAGAATCAATTGTATCATATATCTATAAACCATAACTCACATCTTAAATTAGTTATTAAATTTTTTTAATATTTCAATTTATCTCAAATTGTGATTCTCATTCTAAATTAACTCTTAAAAATTTGAATATTTTAATTTCACCCCTGAACTATAATTTTCTTTCTAAATTGGTCCCCAAACTTTTTTAATCTTCAAGTTTCATCCCCAAAGTCATTTAAATATGTAATTAGTTTCAACCATAGTTTAACTTAAATTTTGTTTTTTTTTTCAAACATATAACAATATAACGTAGTCTAACAATTTTATTAACAAGGGATGTGATTAGTATATACATATAGTTTAGGATAGAATTGGAATATTACAAAAGTTTGAGGACCAATTTAGAATAAAGGTTGTAGTTTGGGGATAAAATTAAAATGTTCAAAAGTTTGAGAACTAATTTAGAATTATAGTCATAGTTTAAATATGGAATTGAAGCATTTAAAAACTCAGAGACCAATTAAAAATGAAAATCATACTTTGAGGACATGTAATGCAATTAACTCAAATATATATCATTAATTTTGTGCATAGAAAGGGAAGTGATTGGTGAATACTAATTGGTAGTAACATTTCAACCGAAAGCAGAAATGTAAGATAATGCAATGATCAACGACTTACTATATTATATTGAATACGTGAGAATGTAATTGATCAAAACTTCAATAATTCAAACAATAAATGAAGTTTAATTAACATCTCATCCATGGAAGAGCAAGATGCGATGATACGAAATTATACTAATGGCTAAAGTTTATCCAGCAAAACATTGATCATAATTCATTCAGAAGAGAAATAGCAAAAGCAAGTGGGTCTCCATATGATAACGATAAAGCAAGAAATTGATCCATTAAGCACTGTTCAAATCACACAAAGAAAGGTAATAGCTTGTCCTTTCTTACATACTGAGCATGAATTGTCTAAAAGCAGGGAAGAAGAGAGAAACTTATATGAAATATACAAATACAAGCCAAAAACAAAAGAACACACAATTTCAACAATTTAAGAAACACACAATTTCATCATCTCTTTTCTTTTAACTTCAAACTCAAGCCTTCTCCTTTTCTTTCTCTTCATCTGTTTTGGGGTGGTAACCAGGAAGCTTCTCCTTGATTTTCTCCAAAATCCCCTTCTTTTCCTTTGCGTCGCCCTCCTGATGGGGCTCAGCCGCTGCCGGTGGTGCTGGAGGTGGGCTACTCACCTCTTCAGCTTTCTTATGTTGTCCGGGTAGTTTCTCTTTGACCTTCTCAAGGAAACCTTTCTTTTCAGGCGTTTCCGGCTGAACCACTGGTTCATCAATCTTCTCAACTGGGATTACCGTGGCTTCTTTCTTTTCCTTCTTTTTCTTCTTCTTCTTTTCTCCATCTTCACCTTCTTCCTCATCGCTGGACTGCACGTTTCGGACAAACGGGTTACATGTTAGGATAATTAAAGCATAACGCAAAAGTGAAAATTTGGCGACCCAGTTACTAAAACCATAAAAGAAGAAAGTGATTTAACGTTCTTACGGAGCTGGAGCTGCTATCTGATCGGTGAAGCTTCTCCAGAAGACCATGCTTCTTCTCCTCTCGCTCTTCCTCTGGCTTTGATTCTTCAATCTTAACCTTGTCAAACTCAGTTACAAGCGCCTCCTCTTGGGGCTTCTCCTCTTCTTTCTTCCCCATGAAATCGAACAACCCTCGGTCCTTCGACTCCACTGCTTCTTCACCGGCGACGCTGCTCTCGACCTCAGAAATCTTGTTGGTATTCTCCTCAGCCATTTTTTTCTTTGTATCAACAAGCACGAATAACAAATATGTTCAAAGCTAGCTATGCTCCACTTCTCACTTATTTAGAGAAATGAGAACCCTGGTATTTTATAGAATACAAAGCCTCGTCATCACAACGCGGTTCTGACGCGATTAAGGAAAAGGAGCCATCTAAAAGTTAACGGAAGCTAACGGGCTAGCCAATCGAGCGCCATTCATGTAACCGACGTTTGCATTAATTTAAGCGGCATTTGGATAGGGAATGTGAGATTTCCTTTGAATGAAATATACAATCTCATTTGGTTTGACCAGAAATATCATTATCGGTAATGTATTATTATAAATAGTAAATGTTTTTGGGTATATTATTGGGAATGTCATTACCTCTATTCTTTTAGGTATTGTAATATTAACGGCGTTTTAGACTAAAATGCCCTTAAATTTTTATTTTTTTTCAAAAATATCATTATTCTGTCATTGAATAATAAAAATTATATGAATATTAAATTACAAATTTAACCTTAAATTATTTTATATTTACAAAAAAATCCATAATTAAAATTTTATATGAAATTCATAGATTAAAATAAAATTTTACTCTTTCATTAAATCTTTTTATATTTTTAATTTTTAAAAAACTTATATAAATATTATGAATTTAAATTTTTAAAGAAAATATATAAATATTTTTCAACTTGTAATATTATACAAATATATAATAATGATATTTCAATAATATTTTATTCTTTTAACCAAACAGGATAATCTTACATTCATGTTAAACTAATGAAACACAAAATATAACATTCCTAATAATCTTATTCTCTGATAATCTTTTATTCTCATCGGTAATTTTATCTTCCGTAAAATAAACGTATCCGAAAGGTGTACTCTCTAAATATAATTGATTGTTTTGTACTCGCTTTTTGGCTGGATAGTTGTACTTTGAGCAGATGTGCCAACTAATGGAAGCGAGTGCAGGCGTGAGTTATAAGCTAGCGCTGGTGGAAATGAACAGTCAAAAGGGAAGAAAGTGAAAGAAGACACTCTGTTGTCTGTATTATAAATCATGCTAGCATGCGACCAATGGGTTCGCCGACACGTGGAAGAAGATAGTGGTGAGCGGTATTGGCATGCGAAGGTCGGTGTAGGACCAGATAGAGAGGATGATGGGCAACGTGTCATTACTTACTAAAGAAGGAGAAGGAGGCTTCGAGATATGTGACCAATAGGCGTCTGGGGACGGACCCCATGCCCCCAAGGAATGAATGATTGAATAGTGGGGTTGGCCTCGTTGTACGTTAATCTAGCTTTTTAAAATGAGAAAATCGCCTCAGTGACCAAAAATACCTTATAATATATGATTTTAACCAATTTTTTTTGGATTTGCCAAAATGACCAATAAAATCGCAACGCGATATCAAAATCGCAACGCGATTTAGAAAATCGCAACGTTAAAAAGAAAATCGCAACGGTCAAAAGAAAATCGCAACGCGAGCTTCCAAGTTCGCAACGCGAGCTTCCAAGTTCGCAACGCGATTTAGAAGAAAATCGCAATGCGATTGATAGAATCGCAATGCGATTTATAGAATCGCAATGCGATTGAGAGAGTCGCAACGCGATCTAGAAGAAAATCGCAATGCGACTGAGAGAATCGCAATGCGACTGAGAGAATCGCAATGCGACTGAGAGAATCGCAATGCGACTGAGAGAATCGCAATGCGATTTATAGAATCGCAATGCGATTGAGAGAATCGCAACGCGATTTAGAGAATCGCAACGCGATTTAGAGAATCGCAACGCGATTTAGAAAATCGCAACGGTCAAAAGAATAGTTAAAAAAATTTTGTTTCTTAAGAATTTTCTCTAAAAAGATAGTATCCGCGCGGACGTGTCGAAGACACGTATTACCACGACCACGACCACGACCACGACCGACCCGACCCGACCCGAGACGAGACGGCGGCGGCGGCGGCGCGCGAGAGTCCCCCTTGTCCTCTTTCACTCAACAAGGAAGTGCAAAATACAAGCCTTAAAATAATTCCCAATAGTGTTTCCAATACTATGTGAGAGCATTACCAACACTTGTTCCCAATATCATTATTCTTCAAAAGTTATCATCCATTACAATATGAATTATCGATAATAAATTAATTCATTTAATAAGTATTTAAAATTATAACTGATAAATACATGAAATAATTCTATTATTAAATAAAAATATATTTTTTATATTAAAATTATGAGATAGATATTTACTATAAAAGTAAAAGATTTTTTTTTCACGTACAACCTCTATGTGAATTAGTTTCACAATAAGGTATCGGTTATGCATTGGATTCTTTCGTATTAGATGGTCTTTAATAAGATCATCATCATCATTCTTTTGTTCAACAATACCATATATTAATGAGGTATATTGGTTCATTAACACGACTAATTCATATTGTAATGGATGATAACTTATGAAGAATAATGATATTTGGAACAAGTGTTGGTAATGCTCAATCCCACATAGTATTGGAAATACTATTGGGAATGGTATTTAAGGCTTGTATTTTGCACTTCCTTGTTGAGTGAAAGAGGACAAGGGGGACTCTCGCGCGCCGCCGCCGCCGCCGTCTCGTCTCGGGTCGGGTCGGGTCGTGGTCGTGGTCGTGGTCGTGGTCGTGGTAATACGTGTCTTCGACACGTCCGCGCGGATACTATCTTTTTAGAGAAAATTCTTAAGAAACAAAATTTTTTTAACTATTCTTTTGACCGTTGCGATTTTCTAAATCGCGTTGCGATTCTCTCAATCGCGTTGCGATTCTATAAATCGCATTGCGATTCTCTCAGTCGCATTGCGATTTTCTTCTAGATCGCGTTGCGACTCTCTCAATCGCATTGCGATTCTATCAATCGCATTGCGATTTTCTTCTAAATCGCGTTGCGAACTTGGAAGCTCGCGTATATTATAAGGTATTTTTGGTCACTGAGGCGATTTTCTCTTTTAAAATTCCGTCACATTCCCGGGATACGTCACTTTGGGCGGAGCCCATGTGAACGTGACAGGTGGGCGGTTTGGAATATCACAGTTTTAAGATTTTTCACCAAAACCCTACTGCAAAAGTGCTCGTTATACGGTGATATTAATATCATCCGAAACTGTTAATGTTAGATTAGGATGCCTATAATCATTGTAATAACATTAATTGTGTCTGTAATTGTAATAAGCGCAACTAAAAAAGTGACCACAACTACAATTTAATTCCATTCAAAAGTTCACGGGCTAAGATTCAATATGGTAAAGCATTAGGGGAAGGAAAATTGCCTTCCAAATTCATAACATCTCAGCAAACAAATGTAGGTACGTTGCCACGTACATAATGGCAAAACAAATAACAACTGCATCATCGCAAGTAACCGTTGAATCATCGGATCACCTTCACCTACTTATTCTCTTTTCCCGGTTATCACTCCATCATCAATTTCAGAGACTTCGGCTGAAGCTCCTACACCGACGGTGAATAGCGTCTTAATTTCCGAGCTTCAATAAGTTCAGTGTTGTTGGATTTGTCGTGGTTGCACTACATACGGCCGTTATGGTGTTGCAGTGATAACAAGAGTCGTTTTTCTAATGGAGACTGATACTTTTAAGCATTGACTGATTCTTTTTTTGTTTGTTTCGTTGATTCAAAATCATTTACTTTTTCCAAATTTGGATTAATGGGATCATGTTGGCCAAGTGCTAATTCGAAAGAATTAAGGTTTTCTGCCAACATATCTTTTGATTGCATTTTGTGAGGTTTTAATTGCTTGTAGACGACATATATTTCATCTCATCTTTATGGAAATACCTTTGCAGTGGAGTTTTGCTGTGAAGTGGATGCAGAAGTCATTGGATGGTTAAGACGATTTGGGCTTAACATTATCTTTATTAGTTGTTCGAATATGGAACAAAACTTATATAAATTAAGTGTACTAATCATGAACAAATGATTTTTTTTTAAAAAAATATAATTTTTAATAAAGAAGTATAAATTAACTATATTCCTATTTAAATTAAATAATAATAATAATAATAAACTGTAACAAAAGTAATAAACAAAATAAAAATAACAGTAAACAAAATGTAAAATAACAACTGAACCTACTTAATTTAACACAAAAATAATACTAAAATATTACTCGATAGCACTTTTCTTATAAATAATAGAAAAAAATTAATAACGAATAAAAAATTAAAAGTAATTTAAAATCTTTTATAAAAAAAAGATTTAAAATCTCATTGACTTCTAGCTCAATCTTCGATAACCCTGACCAAAAAATAATTTAGCTGATTATAAAAAAAATAAAAAAAATAAACTGAAGATAAAAATAAAAATTGGCGTCAACTGAATTCTCGAGGCTAAATAAAAAAATAAGTGTATAATTATACCTTATATTAATTTAAGTATATAAAATATCTTCATTAAAAATAAATATTTTAAAGTTTTCAAGTGGCATTTTTAAGTATTTTGATTGTAACAATCGTTAAATTCGGTCATTAAATTACACATGTCATGCTTATAAATTTAAAAAAAAAATTTTAAAATAAAAAACTTTAAATTAAATTTTATTTTTTCATGTCAAAATAGCCCCAAAAACTCTAAGCCCAAATCCCTTTATCTATGACAATCACCGGTGATTTTGCTATGGTCGTTGCTCTTTGCCATTAGACGCTTCATCTAAATTGGAGTTCAAAGCATGCTGGGAGAAATCGTCACTTGAATCGTCTCATGTTGTCGAAATAATTTAGCCGTTGTAATCGTCGATTTTTCGTTATAATCACTGTGTGAAGCATGAGGGTTTGGTTGGTGGGGTTCGGGTAGTCGCACGCTATCGGGTTTTAGTCAATTACCGTCGTTGGTGGCGGCCGTCGATGATAAGGGATTGAAGTTAGGATTTTTTTTAGATTTTGGATTTTTTTTTATAATTTAAGAAAATCTTGGGTTTTTTTTTTAAATAACACTTTTAAGTATTTTTAAATAAAATTTTATAATCTTGACAAGTGCACTTAACAATCAAATTTAACGTTAAACACTTAAAAGTATAACGTCAGAAATGTTAGACATCTAAAAGTATAATGTCAGAGAAGTTAGACACCTAAAAGTGTAACGTTGGAAACGTTAAACGCCTATTTTTAACGAAAAATTCTTTAGACACGTAAGTTAATTTTAGATATAATTTGAGCACCTATTTATTTATTTATTTTAAAAAGGACCAACTTGCGGTGTAAATTTGATACCTATTGATCATTGCACCTGGCTCATGCTTACTTTGGCAACAAGTATGTAACTTGGCCGAAGGCTAGCTGATGATGGAATATGGTTTCGAGATGATCACCTCAAAAGCCGGGGAACCATTGAGGAGTCCAATGGGTTGAGGTGGAAAGTGGGGGATGTTCTCATTGAACTTGTAGCAGTTAGCTTCAAGGCACGGTGTGTTTCTCGCAACCTTATTTTCTTTTCTTGTATTCGTAGCCCTGAGAAACTAAATTTCAAATGCTGATCCAGGTGGGAATGTAGTAAACAATATTTGCTTTATTTTGTAATGTGTTTAGACTTGGTTGTAGCCTAAAAGACAACATAGGATAGGAGTGGATGCTTTATTTTATTAAGTTAGCTTCACATGGAGTTGTTTTATTTATTTGGCAAAACAAACCCAAACACCATGGTAACTTCCTATTTTGGTACAAACAATTTGGGTTTTACACGGTGGAATGATCGTCAACACAAATCCTGTGAAGCAATGGTGGAGTAACACCGATGCGAGCCCAATAACACGAACAATGCCTTCTCCAGAATTTCGGTGTCGTGTCTTTGAAACAAAGAAATTACGTACTCCAAGACTAGGGATGGCAAACGGGTGGGTCAGGTGCGAATACCTCCTCCCCCATCCTCATACACATCTAATATTTTTCAATCTACCACCCGCCCACCACCCATGATGGGTAAAAATTTTCAAATCCACACCCGCCCACGCAGGTGCATTCTCAAATCCATCCCCACACTCACTATCCAACTAGAGATGTATCCGACTAGACCCGCTTGACAACAAACTTAAGTTATACATAAGCAACAAACACATAAATAAAACTAGTACTTACTCATTTTGCCCTAAATTGATATCAAGTAGTCTAAGCTCCATTCCAATCCGAATTTCAGTAAGTTTCCACATTTTCGTTAAGTTTTGAACTGTTCCAACCAGTATCAATGCATGCAGATTGATATAAGATTTCGACATTTTAACTAAAAAAATGAGTATTTTATTATGCAATCCCTTCCAATATCCTAAGACAGTGAATCATTTATACAAAAAACACCACAAAATCCAACATCATTTGAAGATCGACAAAAACTTGATAGTAACATATGAAATTGAGAAATACGTAGAACCCAATCTGCCTTTGAAGATTAGCGCAGTAATGAAAATGAGAGGTTTGAAAGGAAAACAAATTATGCATAAACTTAACTTATTCCTAATATTTGGTTAAATAACAAGTTATATCTTATACAATATTAGGATTTATAAATTAGTCTCTAAAATTATACCTAAATTCATAATGTCCGAAATGTATTTGATATTTAGCTGGGCGGGCGGATGTGGGTGAGCGGATGCGGGGCGGGTAAGGTGTCAAACCCATTACCCGCCCACTACCCGCGACGGGTACCACTTTCTAAATCCACACCCGCCCACGAAATTGTACCCATTTGCCATCCCTATCCAAGACTGCTGCATCGCATGGCAAAGTTATAGGACCGTCCCACGGCAATCCAAACTCTTCCTCCGACAATCTAAAGAGTTCTTTGAAAATTCTGGTGCGGAGATATGCTAAGGGAACAACAAAACGTTCCTCAACCACAGTGTAGACAACAAATTGACCCGGCCTTGCAAGCTTGCGGTTGATCCTAGTGATCGATATCGTTCTTCTACCAATGCCAGCCATCGTTTTCCACTTCCTTACGAGGGCCACCAGTATCTTCGAGCTGATCATGGGAAAAACCATGTGCAGTGGCCTTCAAAAGAAGAAAGTTGTCAGCTTCTTTTTTTGTATCAAAATTGTAAACAGGCTCTGATAAGAACAACTCTGCCAGTACGTACTGAACTACACTATATATAATGTGTGTTCGCGTGCGTATGCAAGTGTGGATCATTAGCAGAAAGCTAGTGAAGTACGAATTTCAACAAAAACCACGTGCTAATTGGATAGAGAAGATGATATGGACGTGGGTTCGTTTTGGATTTTCCTCATCATGTGGCGAGGGTCCTAGCAATCCACACGGCTTTTAGTCCCTACGGACTTTCTGATTCTAATAATTCAATTCCCGATGAAAATGGTTTCTATTTTATGCACTGAAAAGGTATAAGCGGTACACAAATCCTTTACGAAAAATTGTATTAGGAAGGAACCTTTTTTTGAAGTTCGATCTAGTGAAGTTTTATACCTAGCACTGTGAACCAACATCTTTAACCGCACCGATATTGAATTGTATTTAATAAAATGAAATCATTGGTTTATGAGATTTGTTATGGGGGGGGGGGGGAGAGAAAGGGATGATGTCCAAGTCCATGTGCAAACATCCCTCCAGATAATGCTTAAGAATTCAGTGGTTAAACTTGAGTGTTTTTGAGAAGCGTGAAGCCTCGTATCCAACTAACTAAACGCTTCCCAATCATGATACCTAAACCTTCATCCTCCGACACCAAAGATCTTCAACATAATCATACAACTTGCCGAAACCTAGGGCCCTACGACGAATTCCAAAATTAACTGAGCAAAAATCACAACAGATGAAAAACTACTTAACTGTCCAGATTCGAGGTATTCTCCCTTTTTTTACTAGGCCAAGGGCCATATCTGGTTAAGTATTCATTGTCTACGGTAATGTGATTTTGCTTTAGATCAGAGATTGGAGTTCCAGACAAGTCGTTTTTCTTCATGCAAGTCGTTCCAGACTGGATTTATCACCCGAACGCAATCCAAGAAAATATTGATCATGATAACAACAGATAACCAAAACCATCAACCATGAATCCCTTCTACATAATTTAAGGATTCGAGTATTGGATGGTGGTCTTTTGTGTTATGAATTTATCCTTCTCACAAAGCTTTAGCACCATGACTAATTGTAAGGGAACCTTAAATTCCTATATTCCTAGCAAATAGACAAGGCGAGAGCCAAATTATGGCCCATCCTGAGCCATAAGAAACTTGAAGGCTTTCTGTTTTGGGTAAATGCTACTAATGGTCATTGAACTTTTAGGATGTTTGCACTTTGGTCACTATTGTTAATAATTGGTAGAATGCCTACATATTTTTTAATAAATTAATATCCTCTAATAAGACGACAACAATTGTCATCATCTTTTATAAGAAGTACTACTAAACTTGATGCAGTGGTTAAGCTTTGAATTTTTTTAGGTTCTAGGTTCAAACCCTTCAAGCACAATGTTTGGTTTATTTTTTTTCTTAATCGATAAGATAGTGACGTACGTATTATTCTTATTAAATAGTATTGATTTATTAAAGAAAACGATATATGACATGTTGATCATCTGTGTTAACAAAAGTGACTAAAATAAAAATATTTTAAAATTTAACGATTCTAATGCAAGTTTTAAAGTTTTCAGTAACTAAAATGTAAGCACTCTAAATATTCAATGACCATTTAATATAGTTTCTACTTCTTTTATGGAATTTAAACAGTGTTGGGGATTTGGTTTGGACTTCAATAATTTTGTTTATTATTCGTAAGAGTAAGGACCCAAAAGCTAAGTACAAGAAACGAGCTCAGGGTCCGGTCCAGCACATATATGAATCAGGCATCAAATGTGGATCGATTGATCAACTTGGCATCCAACGGTTGGGAGCGTTCAAAGCAAAGCTACCGGGAATCTATTGATCATTGAACCCCACCGAGTCGAGTCCAGGGCCACAATTTCAGCTTCGAGCATTTGAGACCATTTCTGGTGTTTTAGGGTTTGGTCAGAGAGAAAGAGAGATGGGAGGCGGCCATGGAGGTAACACCACTTACAAAGGTGTAACTTTGCATCACCCAAAGAGATGGCATACCGTCACAGGCAAGGGCTTATGCGCTGTCATGTGGTAATCTCTTCTTCTTCCCCTCCCCCCCTCCTCCTTCAAGTTTTTTATTTTTTTTATCAAATTTCTTTAAGTTCGGCTTAATCTAAATCTTAATTTGTCATATTTTGCATCAATCTGCATTATCGAATAAAACACGCTTGACTATAATTCCCAATCCGTCATTTTTGCTTTATTGGATTTACTTTATTGAATGAATCTGTTGACTTGAGCAAGTCATTGGGAAATCGGGTGCACTTTAAATTACAAAAGCTGAAGAAGAAGGATATGCCTGGATAGGGAAGAATTAATTTCTAGAGTACAGTTAAGGCTTGAATTTGGATCAAATTATCTTGATTCTCAGAGGGTTTCTATGTTTTATTTCGCTAGTTTTCCGGGTTAGGCTGCAAGCTTTTCATTAGGGATCATGATCCATGACAGTTGTGATTTTCATTCGAATATATTATTGCTTTGCAATGCTGATATATAGATAATATTAAGAAAAAGAAAGTTCCTTGCTAACATTGAAAAAAATGATACTACATGCTGGTGGGTTTTCTGAACTTCCTCAAATTCTGGTGTTTCAGGTTTTGGGTCCTCTATAGGGCTAAGCAAGATGGTCCTGTAGTGTTGGTAAGAAGTTCCTCTTTTCAGCGATCCTCGTGATCAGCCTTATTCGCCATAACTTTACTTCATTCTTAGGCTTACTTTGTCTCTCGACTCTTAGGGTTGGCGACACCCGTGGGAAGGCCATGATGACCATTCTCATGGCCATGGAGACAAGCATTAGGTACTGCATTTCTTTTCATGTGATTGCCCAGCATGATCTGCTTAGTTTCTATTTTGTGTAATTCTGCACTTATGATAGGCTAGTTTCTCAGTAGTGGAAGGGAAGTCATTTGTTCTTTGATGCTCCATAGCTTTATTTATTTACTTATTTTTTCAGTAATACTAGTTTATTACGAAACTTCAGTAGCTTTTTGCATCAAGACATATGAATGAAGTATGTTTAGGAAATATTTATATTCATATTATCGGAATGAAGTATGACACGAAAGATGCTTGCTTTCCACTTCAATGATTAATGTCATTGTGTTTAGCTGCAGCCTGAAGAAGATAATCTGTTTATGGACAACCGGTGCAGATGCTGTTCTGAATGTGTTCTGTTAATTTTCGTCGGTTTAAATAAAGTGAACGTGAAATGGGATTGTGATCATAATGAGTTGTAAACTGAAACTCCGTTATGCATTATGTTTTTTTTTTCCTTCTCTTTTTTCATTTCATGTTTCTTCCTTGAAAAACATCACAACATAGTTATGCCAATTAAAAGATTTATTGTTCATAGTCATTATGATAACTAATTGTTAATAATGATTTTTCCTATACTAACATGTGAAATGCTGCAGAAAAAACATTAAGACACAAGTTGTATTCTCCAGAGGCCCTTTTACTTGCTTGGTGGGCTTAATGTATGAGTGGCCACAGACAGGCACCTCAAACCTTTGCTCTACTGATATAAATGTACTCCAGTTTGGTAAATCTTTTGAAAATTGATTTAAAAAGTGTTGTAAAAATGGATTTTAAAAGGTGGAGTTTAAAATTTAATTGTTTGAGATTGCGGTTAAAAATTAATTTTGAAAAGATAAAATGTTAATTTTAGACATTATATTGTAAATAGAAAAATAATATTTGAATTATATTTACACTTACTAATATTATGATATTTGAAATATATCACTTAAACTATAATAAAAATATATAAAATATTTTATGATAACTCATTAATAATATTTTAATATATGAATTATTTTATTAAAAAATATGTTATCAGTTTTTTAACACAGATTTAAAATTATTTCGAAATAAAAATTTAGATACTTATTTTGAATATATATATATATATATACTCAAAGTAAAAAAATCTTTTAAGTTCTATCAATTTATGATTAACAATCAAACAATTAATAAATAATTATACATGTATGTCTATTAATTTAAAAAACAATTAAAATCAAATAATTGAGGATAAAATATAATTTTATCTCAAAAGGATTATACACAACAAAAGTTAGAAATTTAAAATTTTAAAGGTTGAGAATCACTTTTTCAATCGTGACTTTAAACTAATTTTTGAGTATTTAGCATGGTTTATAGGATGAAAAATCACTTTTTTATTATCAAATATATTCCCAAATTGGCCATCCACACACAAATAATGTACCCTCCACAGCATTTTGACATTTATAATTATGGATGAATAGCAAATAAATAAATAAAAGATTCCGAATTGAATAATGAAAAGCTGAAAAATTAATTGAAAATATTGAATATAAAAAGTTTTGTCTATGATTATAGTGTTAAATATTATTGTAAAAAAACTATTTTTAAGAAGATAAAATATTTACTTTAAAAGTAATATTGTAAAATAAAAAAAATTAATTTAGATATTCAATTTTATTGATTTTATAATGTAAAACATATCAATTTAAATTATAAAATAATATACAACAATATCTATTTTTGAGTACTTTTCTCCTAGACTCGACTCGGCCAAGAAAGGACCCTACAGTAGCATCTACTTTGATTTGTGAAAGTTGCTACCCATCCATGGTAGAGAATAGGGTGCCCTCGAATGTATCCGTCGTATAGGGTAGTAGGAAAAATAATTTTCTCATGTAAGGTATCCGTCATATTATTTCTTGAAGTAAGATTTTTAATTAGTCTAAATACGCCTTGCATTCCAATGGTCTTTTTTATTTTTTTGAACACGTCATACAGTCGTGGGGTTTTCTTTATTTGTCTAAAGATGTCATGCAATCGTGGAGTCTTTATATTTGACTTAAAAACGCGTGGAACACCTAGAATCTTTAAGTTGGTACTATACAATTCACCCTAGATAAAAAAATAATCTCCAAGTCATGCAATCGTGGAGTCTTTATATTTGACTTAAAAACGCGTGGAACACCTAGAATCTTTAAGTTGGTACTATACAATTCACCCTAGATAAAAAAATAATCTCCAAATTAAATTACATTGAGAATTAAAAAATCTCACTTACGTTATCTCAGCCATTTTACCACCCTCGAAGGCCATGACTGAGCACAACCAGACAGGCATAGGCATCCCATGCACTCAACCGGTGTTCAACTTGGAGGGCGCAGTAGCTTCTACTTTAATTACTCACTACTTTGTTTGATTGTAACGCGGCAGGGAATCAATAAGCTTTTTCAAAACCATAAATCTTTGAAAAGTTACATACGTAATAACAAAAAGAAGAAAGATAATTGAGAAGAAAGATCATCAAAACTAAATGAGCACGTAAGGGACATCAACACGGAGACTGGATATCAAATTTCATACGCAATTTTCTGCCATATATGGTTTTGTCGTAATCGGACCGACTGATTTTGTAATTTATATTACCATGTTAAATTTTAGAGGAAATCAACTAAATGTTAGTTGTCAAATTTAATACTATCATTTTAAATAAATTTTATAAACAAAAATCCCTTCAAAAAAAATTGTCGGTGTCCAGTGACCCCATGTTCACAAATAGTCATACAGAGCAAGTTGCAGCAACTAGACGTGAAGAATGAAGATTCCTGCAATTAAGATGCGACTTAAAGAATAACAAAAATAAAATCGTTCTACAATTACTTGAATTAATCAATATTTTTTATTGGATTTTATGATGCAGAGGATCCGAGACAGATGATGTTGAGCTGTCAGATTGCACCTTGATGGCGCTGAGATACCATATATTGACAGATCAACGCAAATACGGGAATTGATTGTGACATGTTCCTCATTGGGGTCATTTTGAGTATGTTTCAGTCTTTTGGTCATAACTTTGGCTACAGGTGTCAGAATCGCGCATAAGACCCCAATATGGAAAGCTCTTTTCGACGCGCACGCTCTCCACATCGAGCTACGCTCCATGTGGCCTTTTTTTCAACCTCAAATTCTGCCGTTTTCCCCTCCGAATCACAAGAATTAGATATTTTTTACTATTTATGGTAATATTTCGATTATCAATTAGGAAGTCAATTTAAATCCGATTTAGGCCGGATTTTTTGGAGATTGCTTATTTTATTTCGAATTTCAATTTAGAGTGATTTTCGGGATTTTTCTATTTTTGTCAAAATTCGAATAAAGACGATTTTTGGCTATAACAGTCCGGCTTGTGGACTGATTTTGCATGGTTTTGATTTGATAATATTTTATTAAACCCTATAGACTTTTTTTCTCTGGATTTTTTGGGTGAATTTTCTCTTGTGAATCATCTGTTAGAGCGCTTGCAGGATAATCACTATTCTGTCTAGCATCAGTTGGTGTCAGAGCTTCAACATCTTCCTAGGAAATTTCACCAGTTTCAATGGCTGGAGGTCGTGGTCGCCGTGAGCAGGTTCTGAATGAGGAAGCCCAATGCCGTGATCGCAACGTTCAGGATGTGATGATTGCGGATTTACAGGGGCAAGTCGCAGAATTAACCCAGCGCCTGGCGGCGCAGGATTTCGAGGATCGTGAGGCCTCTGATCACGATACCAATTCCGCTTTTGAAAACCCATACCACAATCGTGCTCTATTCCGAGAACACCGTGGTCGGGAAGAGCGTCATGAAGACCTCGATTTTCGGGTCGATCTCTCTGAGTTTTCTGGTACGTTACAGGCCGAGGGATTCGTGGATTGGATTAATGAAGTAGAGCGTATTTTTGAATATAAGGAAGTCCCTGATCGTGTGAAAGTGAAACTGATCGCCATCAAACTCAAGGGCAGAGCATCTGCGTGGTGGGAACAGTTGCGACGTTCACGAGAAAAACAGGGAAAGGCCAAGATCATTGATTGGGAGAAGATGAAGAAGAAGGTGAAGGGTCACTTCCTTCCCTTCGGCTACACGCAAACCTTGTTTCATCGACTTCATGCGTTGAGGCAGGGCGCACGATCAGTCGATGATTACATGGAGGAGTTTTTACCAATTGGTCGCCCGAAACGATTTATCTTAGACGGATGAGCAAATGGTGGTGCGATATTTGGGGGGTTTACGCCAGCCCTTACAAGATGTCCTCAGCCTTCATTCACTATGGAGTGTTTTGGAAGCTTACCAGTGTGTACTTGCTGTTGAAAAACAGCAAAACAGGAGACCAATGATCAGGAACGATCACAACAGTCGACCAGTTCGTCCTCAGGATTCCCGTCCTGCTCAACAGCCACCGTAGGGTAATTCTAACCCTACTATTAGATGTTTTCGTTGTGGTGAACAAGGGCATAGGGCGACTGATTGCAGGAAGCCTGCTAGTCAAAAGGGAAAAAATTTGTTGATTGAGGAAAATGCGGAAAACGAGACTGAGGAGATTGGCGAACCCGTGTATGACGATGATGAGACTGATGATATGCTGTATGGAGATGGTCATGAGACTCTGGTCGTTCGCAAGAGTCTACTTACTCCCAAGGGCGATTCAGGGGACAATTGGTTGAGAACCAATAATTTCCACACGACCTGCACAGTTGCAGATAAAGTCTGCAAAATGATCATTGACAGCGGCAGTTGTGAGAATGTAGTGTCCGAGAAGGTTGTCCAGAAATTGCAGTTAAAGACGGACCATCATCCTAAGCCATACAAGCTTTCATGACTATATAAAGGCAGTGAGGTAACAGTTGATAGGCGATGCCTCGTGTCATTTTCAATTGGTAGAAAATATTTTGATAATGCATGGTGTGATGTTGTGTCTATGGATGCGTGTCATATATTGTTGGGTCAACCCTGGCAGTATGATCGCAGTGTCATTCATGATGGACGAAAGAATACATATTCCCTTAGCATCAAGGGAAAAAAGATTGTGTTGGCACCCCGGCGGGAAGGACTCACTCCTACCCAAGTAACCCATAATACTACTCTGCTTTCTATGTCCAGGTTTTTAGATGAGATTGAGTATGGCGACGTGGTCTATGCCTTACTACCTTGCGAGAACAATGCAGTAGATGTGGATGTAGATTTACCAGTAGAAGTGCAGCGGCTGCTAGCAGAATTCTCTAACTTGATGCCGGAGGATCTTCCTCCTGGGCTACCACCTATGAGGGATATTCAGCATCAAATTGACCTTGTTCCTGGGTCAAGTTTGCCAAATCGACCAGCATATCGCCTCAGTCCCAAAGAGGTTGAAGAGTTACAGCAACATGTGGAAGAGTTGTTGGAGAGGGGCTATATCCGAGAGAGTATGAGCCCATGTGCAGTCCATGCTCTACTAGTGCCAAAGAAAGATGGTTCTTGGCGTATGTGTGTTGACAGCCGAGCGATCAACAGAATTACAGTTAAGTACCGGTTTCCAATTCCCCGTCTAGATGATATATTGGATCAACTATCTGGTTCTAAGGTCTTCTCAAAAATTGACTTTAAGAGTGGTTACCACCAAATCAGAATAAGACCTGGAGATGAGTGGAAGACGGCGTTTAAAACGCCAAAAGGGTTGTATGAGTTTATGGTCATGCCTTTCGGGCTATCCAATGCGCCCAGTATGTTCATGAGATTTATGCATCAGGTATTGCGGCCTTTTATGGGGGAATTTGTTGTAGTTTACTTCGATGATATCCTCGTTTATAGTCCGACATGGACTTCACACTTCGATCACCTCCGTGCTGTTTTTGAGATGCTGAAAATGGAGTGCTTGTTTGTCAATCAAAAGAAGTGTTCTTTCTTCACTACTTCTGTGACTATGGCTTGGCGTCTTTTTACCGCCGATTCATTAGAAATTTCAGTACTCTGATCGCCCATATCACAGAGTGCCTCAAAGGGCGTGATTTCCAGTGGTCTGAGGGGGCAGAGGCCAGTTTTCAACTGGTCAAGCAGAAGATGACCGAGGCTCCAGTTTTGACACTTCCAGATTTTGACAAAGTGTTCGAGGTAAATTGTGATGCATCTGGCGTTGGCATTGGTGGTGTTCTGAGTCAGGCAGGTCGTCTGGTTGCTTTTTTCAGTGAAAAACTATCGGGATCAAAGAAAAATTATTTCACTTATGATATGGAGTTCTATGCCATAGTTCAGTCCCTGAAGCATTGGCGTCACTACCTAGTACATAAGGAGTTTATTTTGTTTACCGATCATGAGGCCTTGAAGTACAATGGACAACACAAGCTGAGTAGACGTCATGCCAAGTGGCATACTTGCAAGAATTCACTTTTACGCTGAGGCACCAAGCAGAGAGTTTGAACCGCGTCGCAGATGCCCTGAGCCGTCGTACCTTACTTCCCACCACCATGAGTATTAAAGTTGCAGGCTTTGAGACGTTCAATCACAGATATGTATGCAGCTGATCCTTCCTTTGAAATGATATTTCAGGAGGTAACTGAGGGTCACCGTCATGATTTTGTTTTGTATAATAGGTATCTGTTTCGTGGATTACAGTTGTGCATTCCAGATTGTTCATTGAGGCAGTAAATTATAAGTGAACTCCATAATGAGGTACACTTTGGCCGAGATAAGACCTTGGCCCTTATCTCTTCTGACTTGTATTGGCCCAAGTTGACTAGTGATGTGGCCCATTATGTGGACCGTTGTTATGTGTGCCAGCGATCTAAGGGAGTTCTCACCAATGCGGGCTTGTACACTCCCTTACTTGTTCCTGAAGCTCCTTGGTTCGATGTCAGCATGGATTTTGTACTAGGCTTACCCCGCAACCAAAGGGCCTCGGATTCTATCTTTTTTATGGATGACAGGTTTTCCAAGATGGCTCATTTTGTAGCTTGCAGAAAGACTATGGATGCTGACCGGATTGCCCATCTCTATTTCAAGGAGATTGTGCGTTTACATGGTGTTCCTCGATCTATCACTTTAGATCGTGATACTAAGTTCATCAGTCATTTCTGGAAGAGCCTGTGGGGGAAACTGGGAACGCAGTTGAATTTCAGTAGCGCATACCACCCCCAGACGGATGGCCAGACCGAGGTGGTGAACCGAAGTTTGGGAAACCTCTTGAGGTGTTTGGAAGGAACGAAGCCGAAGCAGTGGGATTTGACATTGCCTCAGGCAGAATTTGCCTACAACATATCAAAAAACAGAACCACAGGTCTAAACTCATTTGAGATTGTCTATGGTCAGAACCCATCCGGGGTACTGGACTTAGCCCCTATTCCACGTATAGGTCGTTTCAGTCCTAAAGTAGATGAGATGGCAAAGTATCTTCGGGGTATCCATGAGCAGGTGAAACAAACCATTCATGAGAGCAATACCAAGTACAAGACTCGGGCCGACAATCATCGTCGTCAAGTACTTTTTGATGTTGGTGATTTTGTTTGGGCTGTATTAACTCGTGATCGTTTTCCTGTTGGTGAGTATAATAAGCTTAAGGATCGGAAGATTGGACCTTGTGAGGTCGTGCAGAAGATCAATGATAATGCTTACAGGTTGCGCCTTCCCAGCCACTTGAAGACTTATGATGTCTTTAATGTGAAGCACCTGAGTCATTGTTTTGTGGATTCTGATGACACTACTCTGAACTCGAGGACGAGTTCTTTCCAACCCGGGGTGACTGATGTAGGGGGATCCGAGACAGATGATGCTGATCTGTCAGATTGCACCTTGATGGCGCTGAGATACCATGTATCGGCAGATCAGCGCAAAGGCGGGAATTGATTGTGACATGTTCCTCATTGGGGTCATTTTGAGTATGTGTTCAGTCTTTTGGCCATAACTTTGGCTATAGGTGTCAGAATCGCGCATAAGACCCTAATTTGGAAAGCTCTTTTCGACGCGCACGCTCTCCAAGAGCTACGCTCCATGTGGCCTTTTTTTCAACCTCAAATTCTGCCGTTTTCCCCTCTGAATCACAAGAATTAGATATTTTTTACTATTTATGGTAATATTTCGATTATCAATTAGGAAGTCAATTTAAATCCTATTTAGGCCGGTTTTTTTGGAAATTGCTTATTTTATTTTGAATTTCAATTTAGAGTGATTTTCGGGATTTTGCTATTTTTGACAAAATTCGAATAAAGACGATTTTTTGCTATAACAGTCCGGCTTGTGGACTGATTTTGCATGGTTTTGATTTGATAATATTTTATTAAACCCTAGAGACTTTTTTTCTCTGAATTTTTTTGGGCGAATTTTCTCTTGTGAATCATATGTTGGAGCGCTTGCAGGATCATCACTATTCTATATGGCGTCAATCTGATTGTGTTGGTTGTTAGGGTGGATCCAAGAGGAGGATAAGACATCTCACAATATATATATATATATATATATATGTGTGTGTGTGTGTGTCCTTTTCCTACATTAACTCTGAATTCAACTCAATCAATCCCTTTTTTTCTTTGAAGGAGATGACAAGTATTCGATATTCTTTTTTTTTCCAACAATAATGATTCCTTGCGGAATATTAATACTGCTCCAACACTTTGTAATGCTTTTCGCTTCTTAAAGAAAGCATCTACTGCTATCTAATTCAAGCAAGCCACAAGATAAAAATCTTTATAAAGTGAGAAATCAACTAGGCTAGTTAATTTAATGATAAATTTTTATATTAATTCAAATTCTTGTTCAGTATGGTAACTCGGAAGCCTATGCTCGTCGGTTGTAAAGTTGCAGAAGGATAATCTTATCTATGACACGTGTGGCAAAATTGTTCGGTCGTTGTACGGAACTAGTTGACGCCCAAAAGTTGAGAGTTGGCAGAGTAGGCTAAGGTCAAACTTTCTGAAACGGGCCTCCAATTCGAGACCTACGCTGCTCATAGCGACTTCCGTGGACCCTGCACTTTCTCCAAAGAAAACCTCATTTTCCACCTCATAATAATTGAAGATAAAGTTTCGATATTCTTTAAGTTACGTACAGGCGGATGTATTAAGCCCCTATGGGTTAACTTATTATTTAAGAAAAAAATAAAATTTAGTATAATATGTTAAATAAAAATAGAAAAAATAAAAAAATTTACACTCTCATTATTAATAAGAAAATAAAATTAAAATTTTAGATATCATTTATAAATTTCTAGATCAGTCACTGATTACATATGAGATAAAATTCGTAACTATCCAATAAAAAATTATAACAAAAGACCAACATAAGATATTAAATAAAACCTTGATTTTAGTTTATGATTATCCTAGGTATCATACCTTCAAATGTCACATGTTGTTGTTGATAGATCTAAAAATTAAAAATATTTATATTCTTAATTATCAACTTTATAAAATATAGGTATACCAATTTTTTTATATTTTCTTTAATTTACTAAATTAATTTAATAAATTTCTCAAAATAAAGAGTATGTAATTGCCCTCGTTAGGAACTGCATACACCCACCCCTAGATGTAGTATACAGAATGATAATAAAAATGAGAATAAAAGAGCAAGGCTTTCTACTAAATTAATTGATCAATATTTTGTTTCTAAAAAAATTGTTACATTTAAAATATTTTATTAAAAAACCAATAAATAATAATATTTATATTTTCTTTTTTACTCTTTATTATATTGTCTCATCAAAATAAATATATCAATCACTTTTTAAGGATATTTTTATTATTTTTCTTATTTTATATGCCATATGATCAAATACTTTCCTAAAATTATATGTTTAATTAACAACAGACAAAAATAATAAGATGAAGAAGATATTATTTTTCATCACCAATTTACACTGCGACATCATTTATAGGCCGAACAACGAAAGAGGGAGACATAGTTAATATTGCCGTTGCGGGTTGTATTTTTGTTCACATGCATACAGGCGCAGGGCTTCGTTAGACAGCCAAGACTATAAGAAAAAGTAATACCACCGGTCGATGTCGTTTTGCTACTTAAATAATGAAAAATTATGCAGACAAGTCGTAGTAAATAGTGAT